GAACTTTGCTTCAGGATGAGAACAGAAATCGTGCGGCAGCCGCGTGGCAGCAGGAGGCCCCATTAGCTAAAGTGGTGCTTCAGGTTAAGAACGGTTTCAGGTTAAGAACGGACCTCCAGAACGAATTAAGTACGTAACCAGAGGTACCACTGTATATGTGAGACTTAAATAAAAGAGAGAAAAAGAGAAACAGAAGAGAAAACAAAGGGTGGAGGAGAAACCCCCCCCAAACTTTATACTTTACAAAGTTGTTGTACTTCACCAGATCTTAACCGATTACAGCATTTGCAAGAATGCATTCCAAATATCATTGAATTTGTCCATGGCAAGTCTGCGTTTATAGGCAAGTTGTTCATGTGTTACGAGTTTGTATAAGTCTTCAATCCAATTCTGGAAGGGAGCCGCATTTTTATTTTTCCAATTCATCAGTATCAGTCTTTTTAGCTGTGGTAAGGGCATGGAGAGTCCACTCGTATTGTCCTTTTGTAAGGCTCCATGTTCTGGGTATATAATTCAAGAGGATATTTTGCTATGTAAATGTAAAGTTCTGTTGATGGTTTCAGTTACCTCCTGCCAAAAATCTTTCAATATAGGACAATGAAAAAACATACATTTTAGAGAAGCATTATCCCTATTGCATCTCCAACAGTTGATCGCCCTTTTTTAAACAAACGTAATGGGGTCCAGTATATTCTAAATATTATTTTTGGCTGTATGAGCCTCCATTTAAGGTCCAGAGACACCCTTGTTATAGCAGTGAGAACAGGGTGCTGGACTAGATGGGACTTTGGCCAGATCCAATGAACGAGTTTTATGTTCTCTGTGAAAGGAAATGAAAGAACATTAAATTAAATGATCCTGCTAACAGGTGTGGTTTTTTAGCATCTCATGTGCTATTTTCAGCACCCTTCCTAATTTGGGACTGGGGAGAAGGAAGTAGCTGCATACTTAAAATATGGATACGTGCTGTTTTCTGTTCAAGCTAATGGGAGTAATCTGACCTTGCAAAAAAGTTACTGAAAGTTATTAATCCACTCAGCTTGTTGTTAAACTATCTGCCAGTGCGTAATAATGTAAAGACAATTGTGATACAGCAGCAACTTGAGGGAGAAAAGACCCTTTCCTTGCCCAGTCTTAAAAATCCTGCTCACCTGGAGGTAGTGCTTTTTGACTATAGATGAGTGATGATTCAGAAGCCTAAACTCTTGTTGGGATCAAAATCTAAAAGAAGTTGGCAAAGTTCCTGTGACCTTGAACTATCAAAAATCTGAACACAGATGTTAAATAGATACTGACTTGGGCTATTCATTTAGGCTAGACCTTGTGGAGAACTATATATGCTCCTTGAGTTTGTTGGAAGAAGAGTGTAATTGCATACAGGTCAATTTTGTGCAAATCTTATTCTGCCCTTCTCCAACGAATGCCCTGTTTAAGACAGTGTTGTATTTCAGACATCAATTATGATATCCTGAGCAGGGATTAAATCAGTTTTCTCAGTTTGGGAGACACCAGAAACCAGTGCTTTTTTCCTGGGGGTATGCAGGAGGTACGCATACCCCTAAACATTTTGTGAATCTTTGTAATTTTGTCTATTTACTGTATTTACTTTTTCCAATTTGAACTATAAAATTGTGATTTTCTTGAGTCAAAATGAGAGTACCCTTAATTTAATTTTTTTTTTGGGGGGGGGAAGCACTGCCAGAAACTATGGTTTAACAAACCTTGCTTATCCTCCTTAAAGCTTCATGTGTGAAAGACTGCTCTCAAATTTGCAGAATGATTACCAAGAGTCCCCCAGCTTCTTCATTTTAAGGAACTAATATGTGGGAATGAAGCATCGGTCCCAAATGTTGTCTTGCATACAGATTTACAGTGGTACCTCGGGTTACAGACGCTTCAGGTTACAGACTCCGCTAACCCCGAAATAGTACCTCAGGTTAAGAACTTTTCTACAGGATGAGAACAGAAATAGCACGGCAGTGGTGCGGCAGCAGCGGGAGGCCCCATTAGCTAAAGTAGTACCTCAGGTTAAGAACAGTTTCAAGTTAAGAATGGACCTCCAGAACAAATTAAGTTCTTAACCTGAGGTACCACTGTACTGCACTTGTTTACCACCTTTCTTCCAAGGAGCAAAAGGCAGCATACTGTACATAGAAATATAGAATCATAGAATGGTAGAGTTGGAAGGGACCCAAGGGTCATCTAATCCAACCCCCTGCAATGCAGGAATCTCAGCTAAAGCATCCATGGCAGATGGCCACCCAACCTCTGCTTAAAAACCTCCAAGGAAGGAAAGTCTACAACCTCCCGAAGGAGACCATTCCACTGGCAAACAGCTCTTACTGCCAGAAAGTTTTTCCGTATGTTGCATTGGAATCTCCTTTCTTGTAACTTGAAGCCATTGGTTTGAGTCCTCCCCTCCAGAGCAGGAGAAAAGAAGCTTGTTCCCTCTTCCATGTGACAGCCCTTCAGATATTGGAAGATGGCTATGACATCCCCTATTTTCCAGGCTAAACATACCCAGCTCCTTCAAGCACTCCTTGTAAGGCTTGGTTTCCTGATTGGTTTACATATAATAATTATAATTTATTATTTATACCCCGCCCATCTGGCTGGGTTTCCCCAGCCACTCTGGGAGGCTTCCAACAGAATATTAAAATACAATAACCTATTAAATATTAAAAGCTTCCCTAACCAGTGCTGCCTTCAGATGTCTTCTAAAAGTCTGGTACAGTGGTACCTCGGGTTACATACGCTTCAGGTTACATACGCTTCAGGTTACACACTCCACTAAGCCAGAAATAGTGCTTCAGGTTAAGAACTTTGCTTCAGGATAAGAACAGAAATCGGGCTCTGGCGGCGCAGCGGCAGCAGGAGACCCCATTAGCTAAAGTGGTGCTTCAGGTTAAGAACAGTTTCAGGTTAAGAACGGACCTCCGGAACAAATTAAGTACTTAACCCGAGGTACCACTGTAGTTGTTTTTCTCTTTGACATCTGGTGGGAGGGCCTTCCACAATAATAATAATATAGCTACATACACAGACACAGTATTGCTAACTCTGCCCACCTCATTGTTGGGTGTTGATGGAAATGCTGCTTTTTGCTTTGCCCAGATTGTTGCAAAATAAAAGGCAGCATTTCTCCCTACCCCCACTTCAGCACCACGGTGGAGATGGTTCCTTCTAGTCTTACAGCTCAGGCAGGCTTCGTCTTCGACCTTAGCACTGTGGTGCTTAGCACTAAGATAGGAGATAAAATATCTTCTTCTCAGAGGAGATCTCTAACAAGTAGACAGAGCCCTTTATCTCTCAATCAGATCAAAAGATAAAGCTGCAGGGCCACTTCATGCAGCTTGGTGAGCTGGCATGGCAACAGGTATGTGTAAGATTGCCTTCAATACTCACCCTCTAACTCACCAGCCCTGACCTTTCCTATTTTTTTGCTTCTCTGTGTTGTGCTTCAATCTTCTGCTTTCAGCTCCTAGCAAAAGCCAGAGCCAAATCCTAAACAAGATCAGAACACCTGATTTGAAGAATCAGCCCTCTAGTCTCAATTTAGATCTGGCTACCTACAATAGCGGGACGTGGGTGGCGCTGTGGGTTAAACCACAGAGCCTAGGACTTGCCGATCAGAAGGTCAGCAGTTCGAATCCCTGCGACAGGGTGAGCTCCCATTGCTCGGTCCCAGCTCCTGCCAACCTAGCAGTTCGAAAGCACAAAGTGCAAGTAGATAAATAGGTACCGCTCCAGCGGGAAGGTAAACGGCGTTTCCGTGCGCTGCTCTGGTTCGCCAGAAGCGGCTTAGTCAATTTTTTTTTTTAAATAAAATTTTCAAATATAACAATAAAAGAAAAACATTCCATTTGAATTATACATCCCATTCTAATCTTTCCACTTTCAGACTTCCTCCAGTCTATCTGGGAATGTTCATGTTTTCACAGTTATTCACATTTCTTGCATCTGTATTGTTTTGTTTTGTTTTTAACCAAATTAATCTTAGCAATTATTATAAAACAATATTTCTTTCCATTATTATCACAGAGCTTCTTGAAAACCTACAAACGTTAATTGACCTTCACATATATTTTTAATATACTCTGTAAATTTATTCCAGTCCTTGGTAAATCTCTGGTCTCGCCGGTTCAATTCTCCCGTTAGCTTGTCTAATTCTGCGTATTCCATCAACTTCATTCTCCATTCTTCTTTCGTCGGGATTTCTTCCTGTTTCCATTTTTGTACCACCAAAATTCTTGCCGCTGTTAATGCATACAAAAACAACTTCTCATCCTTCTTTTTTATGTCATTTCTTAGTATTCCTAACAGAAAAGTTTCTGGTTTTTTAACAAAGGTATATTTCAACATTTTTTTCAATTCATTATAAATCATTTCCCAGAAACCTTTCATTTTTTTACATTCCCACCACATATGATAGAATGTTCCTTCTTTCTCCTGACATTTCCAACATTTATTACTCACTTTATACATCTTTCCAAGTTTTACTGGTGTAACATGTTAGGATTCAAGCCTTTATCAGGAGAAACTGGCCACTCTCCAGGCACCCGGCTTGATCTCCTGTTGACCTCCCTGTCTGCATTCCCGGCAGGATCCAGGCTAGGTCGCGATAGGCGATCCTCCTCAACGTGAGAAGAACACACCCCTCTTTCCTGCCCCCCCCGGGCAGGGGAGAGAGATAGACAGAAACGTATTTACATTCCTTTATTTCTGTCTTTGCATCGTTACAAAAATCATGTCTGCTCTCTTCAAGCTTCAGCAGTCGATGAGACAAACTCCTCCTGTACTTCCTGTACAGCTCATATTACACTCTGAGCTAATTCCGGTGCCCTCTGCACTGTGAATTGACTGTCCCTCTGTTTCCCACGGAACAGTCCCAACATTCCCATTATGTTTTGCTTTCAAGCTACCAGCTCGCGGCCGCATTGCTTCTATATCGTAACATAACATACCATCTATATAACATTTTCGTAACATTTTCTTTTATTGTAGTACATGCAGTAAATTTCATTCCTTCTTTCCACAATCTTATCCAATCATCAAACTGAATATTATAACCAAAGTCTTTGGCCCACTGAATCATTGCAACTTTAACCTCTTCATCCTTAGTATGCCACTCAAGTAATAATTTATACATTTTTGATAAAATTTTAACATCATTATTCACAATTTCTTTTTGAAATCTAGATTTTTCATCTTGAAAACCTCTTTCCAAAATCTCTTTTTTAAACATCGCATTCACTTGGAAGTAGTGTAACCAATCAACACATGTTCTTTAACTTCATCGTATGGCTTCAATTTCCATTTATTTCCTTCTTTTATAATTAAATTCTCATATGTAATCCAACTCCCCGTCATATTGATCTTCTTAACACTCATTACCTCCAATGGCGACAGCCAAAATGGAGTTTTAAACTTTAATAATTTTTTGTACCTATTCCATACTTCAATCAACGGACCTCGGAAAATGTGATTTTCAAAACCTCAGAAGCGGCTTAGTCCTGCTGGCCACATGACCTGGAAGCTGTACGCCGGCTCCCTCGGCCCATAGAGCGAGATAAGCATCGCAACCCCAGAGTCGGCCACGACTGGACCTAATGGTCAGGTGTCCCTTTACCTTTACCTACAATAGCTGTCAACTTTTCCCTTTTCTTGTGAGGAATCCTATTCGGAATAAGGGAATTTCCCTTAAAAAAAGGGAAATGTTGACAGCTATGCTACCTACCACAGAGTTGCCAGGTAAGGAGCATCCCAGATTCTGATGTTTGCGGCCCAGACCTGATACCTAGGAACAGGCCCCAGTGATGTCATTACGTATTTTCAATTAACCACAGTCATTGAAAAACATGAAGTCAAACAAAGGAGCAAATACGTTCCTGGTTGTGGGGGAAAGGGTGTTCCTGGGTCCAGGTGAAGGGGGATCAAATACTTCTTCCCCTCACTGTAGGTTGTTGTGAACTGCTCTTGTGAACAGCCTGAGTACTGTATGTATTTAATTTCCTTCAGACCTCATTATCGGCACCCCCCTTCACATAGGAGCCAAGTCCTAGGGGCTGAGGGGTCTTCAGCTCCCCAATAAAACATGTGAGCCCCCCCCCCCCCAGTTGATGGACATTACCATTCCAATGGTCTGTGTGCACCATGTCATGTGATCGATTATGTGGGGTGGGGCGTATTTGCCCCTCCCCAATTATTTAAGTTATATGTATGGCATATAATGCAATCTAGAAGAAGTGGGGACACTCGCAGACACTCCCCCCCCCCGAGTCTATGTTATAATTTGCAGCTTGCTCATGCCAGGCTTAAACTTGCAAGTTGCATACGCAGTCTTCTTAATAACACCTATTTTTAAAGGTGTTCTCACTCACCTGGAGATTCAACTTTGCCCACCACCTGGAGATGGCCATACTCCCCCATATGAATCAATGTGCGCTGCGAGCAAAGCGTGATCCAGAGAAGAAAACAAACAGTTGTTATACATATAACACTCGCCTGTTGTTTCAGTTCCACCCTTGGAACTACCCGCCACTGGTTTCCCCAGTGTACCTCTCTGGTTGTCTGTCTTCCAAGGAATGAGTGCATCTGCATTACCTTGGCTAGGGAATGTAGTGTTATGCTTAGCAACTCTCTGTTGTGTCTTTGTCTCTGACTTAGACACAGCTTCAACCTGTCTTGAGTTGTCAACAATAGTAACACATGCTACAGCTGAGTTAGCAAACTCTTTTGAATACCTCTTGGGTGGTACACCCTTTGTAACTCTCTCAGACCTGCGTATGAGGTGCTGATCCTCTCTGCTCACTGGTTCAGTCTCAGGACTCTTTGGAGAACCAGTTCCAATAGTAAACAGTGGTTTATCCTTCACCTGTGAAGGTCTATCCATTGTGTGAGATTTCCTCTCAATGACTGTGTCAACTGAGCTCTTTGAGCTACCACTGTCACTCTCAGTACCACTGTAATCAGTAAAATCATCATCATCATCTGAATCGTCCTCAGTGGGAAATGTGTGAACAATTACTCTCTCCTGTTCAGGAGCACTCTCTAGAAATTTTGTGAGAACCACCTGACCAGATTCAGACAAAATTACTCTGTAGAGACCCTTTTCATAACCCACAAAAATGCCTCTAGCATTCTTTACTCCACCTGGAGCTTCAGTCTTCACATGAGACCCAAAAACCTTAAAATGGGCAACAGAAGGTTTTCTGTGGAACAGCTTCTCAAAAGGAGAACATCCTAAACCTTTTGAAACTTTTCTCACCCAACTGTAACAATAACACATTAACGATTCCGCCCAATACTCATGTGGCAAATGTGAACTCAGCAATTGCGCCTTCATGCCATTTTGCAATTCTTTGTTCACTTGCACACAGACACTTCTGTTCCATGCTTCTGCAGAAACAGCAGTCTTGTGCCTTATCCCTTTCTTATCCAGGAAATCCTGAAAATCCTGTAAAAGAAAAACTGGCTTTTCATCTGTGAAAAAACAATCAATGTTAGCATCATGAACATTCTTAACCTTGTCACAAAACTCTTTAAACCTTTCTAAGGCTTCTTGTGGTTTCTGCAATATATATACCCACACATAATGAGAGAAATAATCCACACACACAAGATAATATCTTGCATTGCCTCTAGACGGTGCTAGAGGACCAATCACATCAGCATACACTCGCTGAAAAGCTTTGGTTACTTTTGTCGTCTTCTGGACGTTTTCGACACACCTGCGAGAGAAATCATGTTAGAATCAGATGCATTACAATTTATGCAATCACTTTGCTCAAAAGTCAACAAATACAGTCCATCTTTCTCTCTGGCAGAAAGATACAGCTCTCCATCTTTGAAGATTTTGCAGCTTTCTCTATCATAGGACAAAGTCAGTCCTTTCTTTGTGATCTGCGAAACACCTAGCAGTTTGAACTTTAAATCAGGAACCAAATACACATTGTTTATAGTCAAGTTCAGACTCTCAAGATACACAGTTCCAAATCCGGTCGCTTCCAGCTCCTGACCGTTGGCTTGTTTCACAGTGAAGCTTTGCTTCTTAAACGTTGAAAACAGATTTCGCCGAGACGTCATGTGTTGCGTCGCTCCAGTGTCCAAAATAAAAGCGTTCTCCGTTGAAAATGCGGCTTTTGTTGACAGCAATGCCTTTGCAGGTTTCACCTGGGACTTGGTACGACTTTTGCCTGATGCCTCAGGCTTTGCAGAGCTCCCCTTAGCTCCTTTCTGTTGACATGGCTTCTTACAATTCCACTGAAGATGCCCAGTCTGTCCACAATTGAAACAACGGACAACGTTCAAAGCAACAGCCTGTTCTTCACTAGCAATAGCAGCGGGGGTGTCAGAACTCCGAGCTTCTCTCCCCCTGTCTTTGACATCTATTGCAGCAAGTCTGTCTTTCTCATTGAGAATCACAGCACAAATTCTCTCCGTCGAAAGATCTGCGGCAGGTAGAGAACCAAGCTGACTTGCAACCGTTTTATAAGTCCGATTAAGGCTGTTAATAATCATGAAGCAGAATATCTCTTCCTGTAGAGGAAATTGCGTTCCGCCATCTGCTGGCGTAAGAATTTCATCTCTGTCAGATGCGCTTGTACATCTCCATCAGGCGCTAGCCTTAGATTGGTTAGCTTTTCAAAATGCAGCAACGCTGAAGATCCAGCATCTCTTTGATGTATTCTACGCAGCGTATGCCAAATCTCACGCGCGTATTCTAAATCCTGAATATGCACGAGCTGATCATCCGAGATACACAGAATTATGGCCGTCCTGGCTCTCACATTCTGTGAATTCCAACCTGGCGTTGGTGCAGCAGGGATGGGGTTATCAATCACCCCAAAAATCCTCTGATTCTGAAGCAGGGCTTTCATCTTTACAGACCATGAGGAATAATTGTCATTAGTCAATGGAGGTGGGTAAGGTAAGCCTCCCCCCTTCTTGGTATCCATTTTGAATCCAAGTGTCAGCTCTCACTCTCGAGCCTGTAAACTCCAAAAGTCTATTGGCAGTTTACTGCCTCACTTGGCAGCTAAACGCAGGCTGTTTTGAAAGTCCCTCCAAGAGCAGTGAGATAATAGACAAAACAAACTCTGTTTACCAGCCTCTCACAGTCCCAGCCTTACTTCCGTTGTTGGCCAGTAACTTTCCACTATACTGACGTTTCGTTGCTTAGCAACTGGACATTCCAGGCTTGAGCAGCAAACCTTATCAATCTCAGGAATGCGAAATATGCAGGCTATTTCTATCAGTGCTGGTTTCATCCAAAAGCAGACACTCAGTGAACCGAAGAATGCTTCAATTCGCGTTCACTCTCACAGCCATAAAATCACCATACCTTGAGGAATCCGTTGCTCAGCAAAAAACACCTCCTCCGGTGCTCAGCCGTCCTTGTAGCTTCCATCCGCCCGCTACCACATTCTTTCTTTATCTCCTTGCAGAGGATGAAGTACGATCCATCAACCTCTCTTGTTGCTTTCATGGATCAAAACCATCGGCTCCATGCTACCATATGTTAGGATTCAAGCCTTTATCAGGAGAAACTGGCCACTCTCCAGGCACCCGGCTTGATCTCCTGTTGACCTCCCTGTCTGCATTCCCGGCAGGATCCAGGCTAGGTCGCGATAGGCGATCCTCCTCAACGTGAGAAGAACACACCCCTCTTTCCTGCCCCCCCCGGGCAGGGGAGAGAGATAGACAGAAACGTATTTACATTCCTTTATTTCTGTCTTTGCATCGTTACAAAAATCATGTCTGCTCTCTTCAAGCTTCAGCAGTCGATAGACAAACTCCTCCTGTACTTCCTGTACAGCTCATATTACACTCTGAGCTAATTCCGGTGCCCTCTGCACTGTGAATTGACTGTCCCTCTGTTTCCCACGGAACAGTCCCAACATTCCCATTATGTTTTGCTTTCAAGCTACCAGCTCGCGGCCGCATTGCTTCTATATCGTAACATAACATACCATCTATATAACATTTTCGTAACATTTTCTTTTATTGTAGTACATGCAGTAAATTTCATTCCTTCTTTCCACAATCTTATCCAATCATCAAACTGAATATTATAACCAAAGTCTTTGGCCCACTGAATCATTGCAACTTTAACCTCTTCATCCTTAGTATGCCACTCAAGTAATAATTTATACATTTTTGATAAAATTTTAACATCATTATTCACAATTTCTTTTTGAAATCTAGATTTTTCATCTTGAAAACCTCTTTCCAAAATCTCTTTTTTAAACATCGCATTCACTTGGAAGTAGTGTAACCAATCAACACATGTTCTTTAACTTCATCGTATGGCTTCAATTTCCATTTATTTCCTTCTTTTATAATTAAATTCTCATATGTAATCCAACTCCCCGTCATATTGATCTTCTTAACACTCATTACCTCCAATGGCGACAGCCAAAATGGAGTTTTAAACTTTAATAATTTTTTGTACCTATTCCATACTTCAATCAACGGACCTCGGAAAATGTGATTTTCAAAACCTCAGAAGCGGCTTAGTCCTGCTGGCCACATGACCTGGAAGCTGTACGCCGGCTCCCTCGGCCCATAGAGCGAGATAAGCATCGCAACCCCAGAGTCGGCCACGACTGGACCTAATGGTCAGGTGTCCCTTTACCTTTACCTACAATAGCTGTCAACTTTTCCCTTTTCTTGTGAGGAATCCTATTCGGAATAAGGGAATTTCCCTTAAAAAAAGGGAAATGTTGACAGCTATGCTACCTACCACAGAGTTGCCAGGTAAGGAGCATCCCAGATTCTGATGTTTGCGGCCCAGACCTGATACCTAGGAACAGGCCCCAGTGATGTCATTACGTATTTTCAATTAACCACAGTCATTGAAAAACATGAAGTCAAACAAAGGAGCAAATACGTTCCTGGTTGTGGGGGAAAGGGTGTTCCTGGGTCCAGGTGAAGGGGGATCAAATACTTCTTCCCCTCACTGTAGGTTGTTGTGAACTGCTCTTGTGAACAGCCTGAGTACTGTATGTATTTAATTTCCTTCAGACCTCATTATCTGCACCCCCCCTTCACATAGGAGCCAAGTCCTAGGGGCTGAGGGGTCTTCAGCTCCCCAATAAAACATGTGAGCCCCCCCCCAGTTGATGGACATTACCATTCCAATGGTCTGTGTGCACCATGTCATGTGATCGATTATGTGGGGTGGGGCTTATTTGCCCCCTCCCCCAATTATTTAAGTTATATTTATGGCATATAATGCAATCTAGAAGAAGTGGGGACACTCGCAGACACTCCCCCCCCCCCGAGTCTATGTTATAATTTGCAGCTTGCTCATGCCAGGCTTAAACTTGCAAGTTGCATACGCAGTCTTCTTAATAACACCTATTTTTAAAGGTGTTCTCACTCACCTGGAGATTCAACTTTGCCCACCACCTGGAGATGGCCAGGAAAATCTGGAAACTTCAGGTCAAGACTCAATAAGCAGGCTAGACAAAGACATTTTAAGGGATTAAGAAAAAATCAAGGTGTGTCTACGACTTAAATGAGCATTACCACCTGTTGGCGACAGTGAGAGATTCAGGATAATTTCCAACACCTCCGCGCATCTCTAGGCCAATTGCTGTCCTTGTGATGGAGAGCTATTGCTGAGTGGCTCCTTTAATGCAAACCTCAAAATTCACTTTCACAGTCATTTGATTTGTTATTATTGAATGAAGCGCTCCTTTCTGCCGTTTCGGCAGGAAAGCACCTTGGGATTGTGAGCAGGGAAGCGGCCCACACATTCTCCATCAAAGGCTTTTTTAAATACCTGTGTTTAGTACTAAATCACCAGTGCTGGTGCCTTTTTAAGTTTCTACTTTAGCTTGGTTTATTCTCAGTAAAGTAGTAATTTAATCCTATTTTTTATTAAAAGGATAGGCAAGGGGCCTTCTAAACTGCTTACATTGTAAGTGTGTTCCCCAAGCCAATCTCTCTCCCTCCTTTGAGATTCCTGCCTGCAGTTGTGTCCATTGACTCTCAAGAATTTATGGATTGGGTTGAATTGAGGTTTCTAGTTCCATACTATGCATATTTAGTCAGAAGCAAAGGTGATTTGGGGCTTTGATTTGAGAACCAGTGTGGTGTAGTGGTTAAGAGCGGTAGTCTCGTAATCTGGGGAACTGGGTTCGCGTCTCCGCTCCTCCACATGCAGCTGCTGGGTGACCTTGGGTCAGTCACACTTCTTTGAAGTCTCTCAGCCCCACTCACCTCACAGAGTGTTTGTTGTGGGGGAGGAAGGGAAAGGCGAATGTTAGCCGCTTTGAGACTCCTTAAAGGGAGTGAAAGGTGGGATATCAAATCCAAACTCTTCTTCTTCTTCTAAGTACATATAGGGTTGCAGCCTAAAGAATATTTTGGCAGGACAACTAATCCTTCTCTATAACCCTGTTTCTCCCATCCATCCTTCAACACCATTCCCTGGATAATAATAAAGCAATAAATTAATAATAATGGAAATTTCTCTACTGGTTTAATATTAAAGGTTCTGCTTTTTATTAAAGATTCTCCAAGCAAGGTAGAAGAAATTGTAACTCATATAAAGTAGAAAAGAATTTCAAAGCTATGTACAAGGTAGAGGTAGAGGTCCACTACCATATAGAAGACTATCACACCATGTATCAAGAGTTCCTAGAATAAAATTTTGAAACATTAAGTAGCTATTTACTCCAGCTGCTGCTTGTGGAATTCCTATGTGCAGGAGGGCTTTTGGGAGAGAGGGCTGGCATCTGATAGCAGCAGAGGATTGCTCTGAGTATCTTATCACTGGTGACAAGCTTCAAAAGTTCAGGGTACATCCATGTCGGGACAAGCGATAGAACTTTGAGACTTTGTGTGTTTGTGTGACTGATTTCTCTCCACCCAGAACTCTACCGTGTGGCCACTGTTTCAGATTCTAGGGTCTGCAGGGGTTGGAAGGATTCCCCTAGGTGCCTCATCTTTCCTTCTATCAGAGCACATGAAGAACCACTGAGCCTCTTGGGTTTGCTGGTCAGAAGGTCGGCGGTTTGAATCCCCACAACGGAGTGAGCTCCTGTTGCTCTGTCCCAGCTCCTGCCAACCTGGCAGTTCGAAAGCATGCCAGTGCAAGTAGATAAATAGGTACTGCTGTGGCAGGAAGGTAAATGGTGTTTCTGTGCTCTCTGGTTTCCATCACGCTGTCCCTTTGTGCCAGAAGCGGTTTAGTCATGCTGGCCACATGACTCAGAAAGCAGTCTGTGGACAAACGTCGGCTCCCTCAGCCCAAAAATGAGATGAGCACCACAACCCCATAGTCGCCTTTGACTGGTCTTAACCATCCAGGGGTCCTTTACCTTTACCTTTTACCTTACTTAGCTCATATCAAGTAGGTTTAATCCCAGCAGCTCCACCTCACAGACAGCAAACTGAGAAGTGAGTAAAAAGGATTCCATAAGGAATTTCCTACAATAAGATATTTTTTCACGACAATTTTTACAATTAACAATGTTGTTAAGATTCCTGATTCAGAACACAAATTTGTCCTTCTCATAACATTTGGATGTATTATGAATTTGGCATCATCATACCTCGCCACTTACTCGAGAAACTTCTTTTGGAATGCAAATTCGATTCTGCAGATGCACTCAAAGAGCAGAACCACAGAGCTAGTTGTTTTGTGGGAGTAATTTCTGCCAGTGCGGGGCCTATGGGACTTAGTGGTGGGGGTGTGGAGACCTTGCAAGCACCATTAAAGTGATCAAATGTTCTTTGGATGAAACCTTAATTATACAAAACAATACAACAGCTGCCCACAAAGAACTAAATGTGCAAGTAATTTGTTTTCATGTATGAACAATGCCTGTTGTTTTTGTCCATGGAGTTTTCTTGGCAGGAATACTGGAGTGGCTTGTTGGTTCCTGCTCCAGGTGGATCACGTTTAGTCAAAACTCTCCACTATGACCTGTCCCGTCTTGGGGGGACCTGCATGGCATAGCTCATAGCTTCTCTGAGTTATTCAAGCCCCTTCTCCACGACAAGGAGGCAGTGGAAGACAGGAGTGCCTGGCGTGCTCTGGTCCATGGGGTCACGAAGAGTAGGACATGACTAAACGACTAAACAGCAACAATGAACAATGCAGCAGACCTCCTGAACCTAAAGAGATTTTTGGACAATTTCTGTTTGCAAATATTGCAGTCTCTTAAACCAAACTCACCTTTAATCTGGCAAGCAGCTATGTCAGAGTTGCTTCTTTGCAAACAGCTTTAATCCCAATGGAACAGGAGAGCCATAGCAAATAAGTTACGATTTGCAGCTTGAAGGACACTCAGCTCTTAAACAATGTGATAAGCCCATAAACATTATTCTATTCTGCAGAAGACCAAGCTTTCCTTTCCTCTTCCTAGCTCTCCACTGAATGACTCTTCCCTACTGAGCTTAACCAACCGATTCATGTTGGTTCCAGAGGCACACACAGGAGTTCTGTAATGTTAAATTCATATTCTTGGTTGCTCTAAACTACATGATAAAACCATTCAATTAAAGATTCTGTTTGTTTGTTTGAGGACTACATTCTCTTCTCTCTCTCTCTCTCTCTCTCTCTCTCTCTCTGTGTGTGTGTGTGTTAGTTTTGGCAGATGTTTTCTGAGGTTGTTGCTCCCCTCTGGATCTTAAAACCCTCTCTTGTTTGTGTTGCATTTATAAACAGATTTTGGGCCTGACTGATGCTGGGAACCACATTTCCTGGGGGGAAAGGCAGTAAGAGGCACACACGCAGAGCCATCTGCATGCGTGCGGCAACATCGTGAGCTGAAAA